AACTCTAAGAAAGGGTCAACTCCAGGTTGACAACATTACCAGAGGCAAGTCCACAAGAGTCACCTAACCTAAAAGGTAACTTTTAGAAAGATTCAGTTATTTAGTATCACGCATGGAAAAGATATTAATTCAAGTAAATCTGATGAGATAGAAGTGGTGGGTGTATCTTGCACATTCTCACATAACAAATGCCAAATAAAATACTCGTAAGATTTTTTAAGAACAAGTTAAAAATGGTTGGAAGAAGTCATTTTTTTGTGGACCTGTCTGAGATCTTTGTAGTCTTTTCTAATAATATCAGAAGTAAAATGAGTATTAACTGTAGGTAAGACAATAGTCTCTAACTGCCTAATACTGCCAGAGTGGAATAAGGAATCAAAGGCCATATCAGTTACTCAGTTACAGGCTAACTCAGTAGAGGTCCCAGACAAGATGGCATAAGCCAGCTTGGCCCTTCAAGCGATTTAGACTTGCTTGTATATAGCAGTGCCCATCTGTGTCATAGAACTGGTTAGCACAGCCACAGTCCTGCAGTATATGGTTGTTTTCTCACAGTCATATTTTATTTGGTTTTATTCCTATTATAAGGAGTAGAAAGATTTTAACTAAGTACCGGAAGAAGACTATGCAGTGAGAGGTAATGTTTACCAGGTGTATATGTAAAGACACTATAAAAAGCAAACTATGCATTTCAATATTTATATCACAAACAGAGAAGCAGAAATTTCACCTGAAAAACAAAATGGGAGCACTTAGCTATTTCATGTCATCTCTTGCTTGCAGAGCACTGAAGCACTGACATGATAACTGGGGCAGACATAAAGACAGGGCAGGACAAAAAGAGAGGACAACAGCTAGCAGAGCATGCAAGAACCCTGACTTGATATCACCTGAGTCATTGTGGTTTCCCCAGACTGATCCTACAAATAGCTATATTCCAGGAAAGTTTAAATTAATCTCTTTCTTTCACATATGCCACACATGCCAACAGTGGTGAGGCTCAGTCTGAGTCTATACAAAATGCACTCATTCAGAACCTTACCACAAATGCTGCATCTAGCAAAGCTCTGCTGGAGGTAAACTTTTCCCAAGATGCGAATATAATTGACAGGAAAAAAAAATTAACATACTTATCAGCAATAAGTGAACCCTGTAATTTGTAGAAATAAATGTCGTGAGCACAGGTAGATTTGCTTCTTTCTTCAGAGTTAAACAGGAAGACCAATATCCAGTGATTTAGACAATTCTCTGTGTCATTTTCCCTCCATCTGTCCCACTAGCCTTCACTATACACCTCTTATTGGAATAAAAAGAAATACTGGGATGTTGGCAGGAGGCTCACCTCAAATAAGACAGTAAAGATGAACCTACACTATTTGTTTAGCAGTGCTGGTCAAGCACAAGTTAACATTTTTGCTTCAAGATAAGAGCACTAAGGTATTTTGGGACCCAGGAGTCCCAAAGGCAGCAACTGCTTCCACAGCAATACCAAGAGGTGTTAACTAAGGGGCTTCAGGGTTGGTTTGTACAGCACATTTTCTTTCTCTGAAGACTCAGAAATGTGGTGGTAGCTACCACCTCACCCTTAGGGCAGAGGAGGAGTACAGGATCATAATCCTGACTCTCATCTTGTCAAGACAGAACAGCTTTAAAGCCTACACAGTACAGGTGGCCATCTTTTTTGGACTGCCATAGATGCTGAATGACTCCTCCGCACTGTATTTTGCTACCATTTACAGCCACTTAGCCATCTTTTTCTTGGAGAGAAGGTTCCTCTGAGGAGAAAGGAAACAGTGCTGTGCCCCAGCACTGCTGAAGCTACCACTTGCCGCGTCCTCACGTACATGCTTTCATCAGCACAAAACTTTAATCTCAACAAGAAACAACAGATGGGAACCGACCAACAGAAAGAATTCAGAAAGAGGAGACAACATCCCAGCATGGAAGCTGTGGTTGCAGCACCCTATAGTGAAGTCACCTGTAGGTATTATGGCCAAAGACAGTTTTAAGAAAGATTTGGGAATGGATAGCAAGAACAGAAGGTGTTCTTTTCTAAGAAACATCTCAATTACAAAAGAGCATGCAAAGGTTGCCTTTTAATAGGACACACCAGGGTAGTATTGCTGGCAGGACACCTGCATGTGCTGCTGCTTCTCACACAGGTGTCCCCTCCTTAAATCCAAGTACTCTTCTGGATGCCAGGTAATGCTGAAACATGGGATGATGTGAAGGAAAGTCTTTCTTTCCACATCATATAAGTTACACTGCAGACTCAAATAAACCACACTGTTACAGTAACTTTGCAGGGCTCAACAAAGTCAGTGCATTTTGCTGAAATTCAATGAGTTTTCTAAACAAGTAATTGTGTTAAAGAAAGGAGCACTAATAAAACATCATAAGCACAGTTTGCACAATAGATGTTTGTTATTATGCTACCAAATAAACCTGTATTTTGCCTTAATTATCTTAATAGCAGTTGTACTCAGAGAAGTCCAGAAAATACAAAAGCTTCTATCTCCATTGCAAAGGTTGACTACTAAAGCTAAAAGTCTTCCCATAACAACATACATTTTATTTTTACTTTTTTTCCTTTCTTTGTGAGTGCTCTTGCATGTGTCTGTGTACAATTTACTAACTGTGCTGTTTTTAAGAGCTGGCAGACTTTTGCTCAAGCTTCCATCATAGTCCATCCATACAGAACACATGGAACTTCTGACAAAGTAGAAAACATGGAAAAAAAAGGTTGAAGGGCTTTACAAATGCTAACTGCATGTATGGAAAGGCAGGTTTGTTTCAGGGTTTTCCTTGTTGTTTTTCTTATGGACTTCCACTTCAGCATTCAAGAGGCAGGTGTTTGAAGATATCTTCAATTCTTATTAGTGCCCAATTATCTTCATCAGCTAAACCCATTTTAGCCAAACCAGTGGGTTAAAGACATCGTGCAGAAGAAGCAAAAACATCTGAAAAGAAAATGTTACACATATTAAAAAAGATTGATGTTTATATAAAAAGCAATAAACCTGCATACTTGATTTTAAACAATATTCTAACATTGATTTGTTATTCATATATTATCACAGAATCACAGAATCACAGGGTTGGAAGGGACCTCAAGGATCATGAATCTCCAACCTCCCTGCCACAGGCATGGCCACCAACCTCCACATTTAATACTAGACCAGGCTGCCCAGGGCCCCATCCAATCTGGCCTTGAACACCTCCAGGGATGGGGCATCCACAACCCCTCTGGGCAGCCTGTTCCAGAACCTCACCACTCTCTCTGTAAAGAATTTCCACCTGACATCCAACCTAAATTTTCCCTCCCTCAAATCAAAACCATTTCCCTTTCTCCTGCGGTTATCAACCCTTTCAAAGAGTTGATTCCCCTCCTGTTTGTAGGCTCCCTTTAGGTATTGAAATGTTGCAATGAGGTCACTCCGCAGCCTTCTTTTCTCCAGGCTGAACAAACCCAGCTCCCTCAGCCTGTCTTCATAGGGGAGGTACTCCAGTCCCCTGATCACCTTCGTGGCTCTCCTCTGAACCCTCTCCAACAGCTCCCTGTCTTTTTTGTACTGGGGACTCCACACTTGGACGCAGTATTCCAGATGGGGCCTCACAAGAGCAGAGTAGAGGGGGACAGTCACCTCCCTGTCCCTGCTGGCCACCCCTCTTTTGATGGAACCCAGAATGCCATTTGCCTTCTGAGCCACAAGGGCACACTGCTGACTCACGTTGAGTTCATCTATCAAGACCCCCAGGTCCTTCTCCACAGGGCTGCTCTCAAGGACCGCTCCTTCCAGTCTGTACGGATGCCTGGGATTCCTCCGGCTCAAGTGCAAAACTCTGCACTTTGCCATGTTGAACCTCATCGGGTTCACCCGGGCCCACCTTTCTAGCCTCTCGAGGTCCCTCTGAATGGCATCCCTTCCTTCTACCGTGTCAACTGCACAATTCAGCTCGGTATCATCATCAGACTTGCTGAGGGTGCACTCGATTCCATCATAGATGTCATTGATAAAGATGTTAAAGACGCCAGGCCCAAGACAGACCCCTGGGGGATGCTGCTCATTACCGGCCTCCACCTGGACATAGAGCCATTGATGACTACCCTCTGTCTGTGGCCTTTCAACCAGTTTCTTATCCATCGAGTGGTCCACCCATCAAATCCACATCCCTCCAATTTGGAGATAAGGATGTGGTGGGGGACCATGTCAAAGGTCTTGTTCAAGTCCAGGTAAATGACATTGCTCGCCTTTCCCTTGTCCACTGATGCTGTCACTCCATCACAGAAGGTCAGCATGACCTTCCCCTGGTAAAGTTGTGCTGGCTCTCTCAGATCACACGCCCATTCCTCATGTGATCAAGCATGTTATCCAGGAGGATCTGTTCCATGATCTTCCCAGGCACAGAGGTGAGACTCACCAGCTTGTAGTTCCTGGGGTCCTCCTTGCTCCCTTTCTTGTAAATGGGAGTGAAATGACACTTCCTCCAGTCATCCGGGGCCTCATCTGACAGCCACAACTTTTCAAATATGATGGAAAGCTGCTTGGCAACCACCTCAGCCAGCTCCTTCAGAACCCTGGGATGCACACCATCCGGCCCTATAGACTTGTACACATTCAGTCTCATGAGGCTGTCTCGGACCTGCTCTGTCCTCACAGCGGGTGGGGATTTACCCCCCCAGTCCCCACCTAGAGGTTTAGGGATGCAGGGCTCAATCCTTTTATCCTTTTGATTTTCCATAATCAGTGACATTTAATTTGAATTCCCTTTAAGCAAGTTGTAATTAGGGCTTTATCATATTTAACTATAGGTATATAATCCCTTAAGTCAAAACAGAAACGAAAATGGATGGCACTGTGATCAGATCTCTCATTCCAAAAATATTTTTTGCCTCCAAAGCTTTGCATGGAAGAAAACACTTCTGAAAATGATACAAATAGTTTTGACATTAGGCAAAGTAAACAAGCAAAATAAACATGGAAAAATCATACGGTCAGTTTGCAAGTGCTGTTTATTGTTTGAGGCAGGGTTAAAGCCTTTTATAAAGACAAGAACATATATGCAACCAGACTGAAAGTGACATTAGGTTATTCTAAACACCCGTATTCAGAACCTGCTGCTTATAATATGCCATGGCCAAAACACGTGTAGGCTTCAAAAAGAACAATATAATATGAACAAACAAGAACTGCTGTTATTTCAGTAGCCAAGAGAGAAGACAAGTGCCATAAATACTTTTAAGAACTATTTCTGGGGGTAAAAAAAAAAAAAAGAAAAAGAAAAAAAAATGGGCCTGTAGTTTTCCTTTCTCTAGTATCTCCTAGGATAACTTGCAGGACATTGTAACTATTGTAACTATGCAGGACATTAGCAGACTCATTACAAGTGACCAAAGCCTACTTTCCAAACACCAGTTTGTGTAGGAAGTGGTATGAACTAGATCACTCTATATTGTTCATCACTGATTTTAAGTATCTGCTTGATTTATTACAGACTTCTTGAGTAAATGAAGTCTTCCAGTTACTGTGCAAGGCCTCAAACCCTCAGCAGCAGCAAACTTTCCTCTGTCACTCCATCAGTCAAATTTTTTACTTTTTTTATTTTACACAGATCAAATTTTGTGATTGGCTTAAACATGCAGTTCACTTCTCCGCACAAAAACAGTGGACAACTTCTAAAAATTAACATTTATCCTTAAGGAAAGTAAATTAAGAGCACCATCTAATTACAGACAAGCCAAACGCAGCCAGAGAGTGGTGACACTCAGCCAGGAACAATATGCATGCATTGTGAACAGTCCAGAGGACAGTATGTTTGCATATTCCTGTGCCAATCACACTGTAACTAGTAGCACTGAACATGATATATTTGTTAATTATCAGGATCATTTTTCACAGAAAGATGTTCATGATTCCAAGTATCTCAATCCGTTTCTCAGAGAATCAAGAAATAGGCTATGCATTGTTGGTTTTTCACTGAAAACTTCACAGTAGCCTTTCATATGTAGACTCCAAATGGGATTAAACTGAACTTTTCTCCAGAACATATTAGTAAAGCTGTTAATTATGTTAATTCCGCCAGTTACTTTTATTGACATTTTTCCCTGCTGAGTAATCATATCCATCTGGTGGCAATTTTATTTTACATCCCACTTTTTAAGCCCTTTTTTCCTTCCAAATTTAAGTGCTTAATTCTAAATGCACTCTCTACACAACTAAAATATATATTGCATAATAAACCAGGAATAATATACACTGTCAATATTATAATTGAGTGCCTTTCCAACTACAGAGAGAACCTATGCTACTATTGCAGTATTAAAAATGACCCCTCTTCTGAAGATCAAGGTAAACAAATTTGAGATGTTATTTAATAACTAGAAAATTTTGTTTGTCTGTAAAACTGCTCAAATCTTTTTCCTTCCCTTATAAGCAAAAATACAAATTGATTGTTCACTGATGAAATATTTTCTGGATATATCTTTTCGTGTTGAAAAAAAGAGTAATCCATACAGGTTCATTTGTGGAAAAACCAAGAATACCCTGTGAAGAGGATTTGTGTGAGCATATAGGAGATGATAGAAACAAAAGCACTTAATTCACAAGAAAAAAAAAAGAAAAAAAAAAAAAACTTAGAGCAGATAAGGGGCTTTTTCATCTGAAATTATAGCCCTACTCTTTTGTAAACACTTTGATATCACCAGCACTCTCACTCAACAGGCGAGGGGGAGATAAACATGCTGCTTTTGTGTGGCGCCAGCCAATGGAGCATGCTCAGTGAAGGCCCAGGTGTGACCCCGGCTCTCCTGCGTGCAGCAGCTGGACCAGGCAATCCATCATGCGCTCCTCCTGTCAGGCTGGGTGCTCTGCCACAGCTGTCTGTCACGCTGGTGGATGGGACCTGCTTAAAGGCAATCATGTCAATCTCTATGTGACTACTCAGACTGAGATGGAAGGATGATCTTGACAGGCCTGGCAAAGTCAGCAGAAGGCACTAGAGGACTTTAGTTACAGGCTTAAAATTTAGATTCAATTTGTGCTTCTCGTGTGGAGGGACTGAAGTGGCATGAAAGAATGCAGTGTTTTATAGCTGGTCGTCTCGGATGAATCTGTTGCCTTCGGAATGTTTTCCATAGTAAATGTAGCGACATTTTCCCAAGATGCCTACAGGAGAGAGGAAATGAATTGCAATTAGGAAAGTGGTGGAAATTACAATTAGGAAAGTGATGCGGAAGCACAAAAACAATTGAAAAATTTGAAAGAGGGAAGAGAATGGTTCTCTTGTCTTGTAAAAGAAAGTTTGTTCATTGGAAATATCCACTATTACCACTTCAATCAGCAGCGTGTAACCCACAGGGAAAATGTATGCTCAGATACCTGTGTGAGCTATCCTGTTCAACAAATATCCATAAATGTCTTCAAAAATTGAATCACGTTGGTACATCATACGTTGTATTTTAAATCACTGTAACCCTCTGCAGGTTTTGAAAAACAGAGAACATGGATTGGACTCACATTCTGTACTGTCTGCAGTCTCCATACTCTATGTTTAAACGGTTTTCCCAGTGAATAATAAACAATTTCAATAGTTAACTATGCTAAATATCTGTGCACATGGAGAATGCTTTCAAAAATCAGTCAGAACACTGCTTTTGGGAGAGTAGGCACATTATTCTCTGTACATGCAGGAGGTAAGATGCCTGAGGAAGCTTTAACTGCTGTGACTGAGACATACATACCTGCAGATCTCATGACTTTATTCAAAAGCATCCCCTCTGGTGGTACTAAGTGGTATGCAAAAGCGTAAGTTCACAGTCACATCCCACCTGTGAACATCCTCAAAGATGCTAAATTTTACTAGCAGAGTTATTCTTTGTTCCCCCAGGCACATACAGTCAAATTAAAGTCACCTCTCACACACAGAAGTAAGGTGAAAGAGTCTCCTCTATCATGGGAATGTCTAGCACAGCAAGTACTGACGTACCTAGCTCATCCCCATAGGTGCACACATAACCTCGCCAAAAGGAGACAGTCACTGCCATACGTAAAGGGTAAAGATGGGGGAGGAGCTGACCCTCTACCCCCTGTAGTTCTGGCTTTCCACAACTCACATAGCAGGTATTGTAGCCACCTCCAGTATCAATGAAGTATGCAAGTTTTTATATTCTGCATCTATTTCTCCAGTGTAACGTGCACCAGATAAGAACCTAAAGTCTTGAAAGGCATGGGCTGTGGCCACGTAACCCATTCTCTTCTTTCCTCCAGTGTAATGTGCACCAGATAAGAACCTAAAGTCTTGAAAGGCATGGGCTGTGGCCATGTAACCCATTCTCTTCTTTCCTTCTAAGACAGGACAGTAACACATTCTTACAGAGAAAAAAAAATTGATTGTCCTGTCACTCATTGTGAAAAACACATTTCAGGAAAGCAGAAGTGGAGACAATATGGTGCAGAGTCTGATCCCACTCCCCTTCTCCACAGAGCTTTCATAATTTCAATTTCCATCATTTCAATAGTAAAACAGTTTCCACATGTAAAGCATGATGATTTCATTCCTAAACAAGCATCTAGCGAAAAGCAAATATTTTCCCCTAAACAGATGGTATTCCAAGTCAAACCGCAGCAGGCATTAGGTTGGTAACAAGGCCGTTTGGAGCTCTAAATGTAAAGGATATGAACAGTTTATTAATGGTATTATTCAGACTGCTTTTTCCCTGGCATTGATAGAAGTGTTGTTTGAGGTCTGCCGCATTTCTTGAGGACTGGAAGCAAGACTGTTTATAGAGATGCTGGTGAGAGAGAGCTGTTTGATGAATGCTGGAGACTGTAGCTAGGTGTCAGCGCTTAGAAAATGAGGCAAGGACATGAGGTATTAATATTGTCAATGATCTCTTGACAGGAAAACAGATACTGCATTCACCGTCAGATTTAAATAGACATCAAGTGCATTAATGACAAAAGGGCAGACTTCAAACAAAGGGGGCTGTATGGTGCTGCACTGAGTGAGTCTCCGAGTTGGCAATAACCTGATCTGAAAAGACACTGTCAGGACTACAGACAGGCCCCGAATTGTGTGCGGTGACAGAAAACAGAGATGCTGACAGAGATACCAGTGCCATATTATGCCAAGTATATTCCTGTGCTGTCTTCAGCCCTAACTAAATCTGACATCATTTCCTATCGCTTATAGTATTCTCCTCTGCTCCAGCAGAATATTTCTCCCCAGACATCATTACAAACTCCAGTGTAGTTTTAAAGTTACTGGCAGGCCTGTTCTGTCATGGAGGTTGGGTCTAGAGGCCTAAGGATAACCTCAGTCAATCTAAATTTGGAGCTTGCTGGAGAAGTGCTCTCATTTTCACTGATATCTCAGCTACTTGAGGTGATCTGAACGCTAAAGTGTGAGGAGCTGTCACCTTGAATAAAATCCTCAAAGTAAAGACGCTCGGTTCCTGGGATGTTCAGCAAAGATGTCGGACAGTCTGGCAGCAGGAAATGAAATCCAGCTGCTGCTGCTCGCCTGGGGATAAAGGTGCTTGGGCTAGTGACAGTTAAAGTCAGCTGAAATTTTTGAACTCCTGCAGCCTACAATTGTTTAAATTAAGGAAGTGTTGTCTCCACAGAGATTCCCTACCAAGGCATACAGCTGTGATTCAATTGCCAGGCATATTACACACACACTGCTCAGAGTCTTGATAAAAGCATAGTTGAAAATGCTGCCATGAAACTCTATTTATCATAAAGGTTATTTGTAAAACAATAACCTGGCTCATAAATTAAATGCAGTGACTGCTTGGGTTTTGTTTTGTTTTCTCTCTCCTTCTCCAACCTCCCTTCGACATCTGCAGAAAACCAAGAACTACAAAAAGCTGCAGTAAGGAGTCTGATGCTAAGTCGTACATGAATTTCAGCATTCTGCAGTTTGCCATCCTGCCCATCTGCAATTCTATTCTCTTCTTCCAGTTCAGGGGCATGAGCACACTTGAGATTTTGCACACAGACAGGGGGAGGAACAAGGGGGAAACAATAAATCCGTGACTTTTGTGTTGTTTTTTAATTAAAATATCCAGCATTGGCCATAATAAGCTAAGTACACCTCCGATGCATCAAAACAACATACAGCATCCTGAATGAGGTTTCTGCTCACGGTTCTTGAGAAATGACAACACAAGGTCTCTTGAGGGATCATCTTCCCCCAAATGAGGCTTCTAATTTTTCTTAAGTAGCTGCTTCTACCATCACCACAAGCTGTTAAAACTATAATTATGAAAAAAATGCATTGGAAAAAATCATTTTTTAATTCACTCTTTATCTTTTAAATGTTTTTCCTTTTCAGAATGGATGTTCTAATTATGCTGGTAAGTAATGACCTTGCAGTTGCTTGCATGTGTTTTGGTATCAGTCTTTCTTCACAAACACATTGTAATGTCAGCAACACCAGCTTTTCCCTAGCTGAGGGAAAACCCAATTATCCAAATAAATAAATAAATACATACATGCATACTAAAGCGCATGAAAAATTGTTCAAGTCATGTTTGCTCCTTTTAAATTGGGCACGTGTTTCAGAGAGCTACTGTGCAATTGGGTCTCCGGACACTTTCCCAGAGTAAGAAAAGTTTGTAGATCTTCATGTATTATGTAGAAAATAGTAAAAAGAATTTGCAGTGAGATGCACTAGATTTATAGATAAGACGGACTCAGCTATTGGTCCAAATTCAGCTCAAGCCAACAGAAGCCTAAGGGAAATGTTATCTGGTAGTATCTCATGGTCTCTCTTAGGTCACACTTTTTTTTTCTAATAGATAACTGCTCTGCATCTATTTGAAACACCTTTCTATCATCATTGTGAGGGGCATCTGCTAGCAGCACAGCCTTCTCTGACAGCATTCATCTTTCTTTAAAAAGCAATGGCTAAAACTAAACAGTCAAGTCAAAACCTCAGCTTCTCCCACTCAAAACTATTGTCACATCTGCTCAAGATGCCCCTCAGGCACCCATTTTAACATCAAACGTTTTTAACAAACCTTTCTGCAACTGCAAACAACAAAGTATTCACAATTTAAATTCTTTGCCAAACACACTGGTTTACAGCATACAGCAGGTAACGCATTTCAGCATACAGTCCCTTGCCTACCTATCATGTAGATTAACCTGCGGTTAGCCCACTGTGGTCAGACAGAGTGCAAAGATTGTTCATACATAGACTCAATATTCTAATGGGATTTCACTTTGCCTAAGTTTAATTTGAGTACAGTACCTAAATCCTCCACTGCCAATTTGTATTTGATCCATATTCATCTCTTTTTCCACAACCTGCTGTTGTATAGTTTTGCTATGGGCTATTAAACAGCTGCCATGTTCCACCAAGAAGCTGGTTGCATTTCACTGTGGTTATACTACCAATCTGCAAATTGTTTTGAGACCCTTCAGGATGAAATATCAATACCATTATCTTTTTTTTTTTTTTCTTTTTTCTTTTTTTTCCCCACAAGCACTTGGGCATTTTCTACAATTAATGAACAGAAGTTGCAAAATTCCCTTAAATATTAATACGAACTTCCTTCACAGAAAATAATTCCCTACCTACAACATTCAGAGGAAAATAAATACTTATATACAAATAATTTCACATCTACAATGCTACTGATTTAGGCAAATCAGTTGCAGTAATTTCCAAGTCTAAAATCCCTTTATCTAAAGGTATAAGTGAAGCTGTTTTGAAACAAACAAAAAAAAATCCTTTTGGTCAGGAGTTCAAGAATTTTTCTTTTTATGTTTGTCTTCATGGAATATTAACAACTTTACATCTACTTGATAATTTCTTTTATTTTAAATTAAGTGAAGCACTAGGGTTTGTCAAGAAACTAGGAAACTAATAGTCTCAGACTTTCAGTAACATGTATTTGGTAACATTCAGACTATTTTGTTCTGATCAATCAGCATTATGCATATACTCTCACAGTCATTCTAGTGTTGTGCTTTTTAAAAAAGATAAATGAAAAATCATTCTAATTAGACCTGAGCTATTTATTCTATAATCATCATTAAGAACATGAAAGCAACTACATGCCGTAAAAAGCATCAAAGTATTTTCAAACACATTTTCAAAATACTTGCTTTTTTATCCTCAAGAAATATTTTCTGATACAAACTAATTGAAATGG